GAAATGGAATCTCTAATGGAGAATAAAACTTGGAAGTTAGTTAACAAACCTAAGGATCATAGGATAGTTCAATGTAAGTGGATTTACAAATTGAAAGAAGGAAATAATCCTAGTGATCCTCCTAGGTATAAGGCCAGATTAGTGGCGAAAGGGTTCACTCAAAAGGAGGGGGTTGATTACAATGAGATATTCTCTCCTGTGATAAAGTACAAAACAATCAGATTGGTTCTTGCATTGGTTGTTCAGTACAACTGGGAACTGGAACAACTAGATGTCAAGACTGCTTTCCTACATGGGGAATTGGAAGAGGATATTTACATGAGTCAGCCTCAAGGTTTTGAGGTGAAAGGTAAAACTAACTGTGTGTGCAAATTAGAAAAATCTCTGTATGGGCTTAAACAAAGTCCTAGACAGTGGTACATAAGGTTTGATACCTATGTACTGAAGATAGGTTTTAAAAGGAGTGAATATGATGCATGCCTGTACTATAATGATAGTAAGGAGGGCTGTGAGGTCTACTTGTTGCTGTATGTAGATGACATGCTTCTAGCAAGTTCAAGTAAGACTGAAATCACTAAGATGAAGAACCTTTTAAAATCAGAATTTGATATGAAAGATTTGGGGAGTGCTAAGAAGATTTTGGGGATGGTTATAAAGAGAGATAGGGCTGAAAATAGACTAGTCATTTCCCAAGAAGCCTATCTAAACAAAGTCATAACTAAATTTGGTATGAATTGATCAAAATTTGTGAACGTTCCCTTAGCAGCTCACATGAATCTTTCCAGTGCACAATCTGCTAAGATTGAGGAGGAATTTAGAGAAATGAGGAACATACCCTACGCTAATGCTATAGGTTCCGTCATGTTCTCTATGATAACAACCAGGCCTGACTTAGCCTATGCTATAAGTTTTTTGAGCAGATTTATGTCAAACCCAGGAAAGCCTCATTGGGCAGGTTTGAAATGGTTGTTAAGGTACATTGTTGGTACATTAAATCTGGGTCTAGTGTATGAAAAGAGATCTGAAAAACTTACTCTAAAGGGGTATGTAGACTCTGATTTTGCTGGTGACAAGGATAGCAGAAAGTCTACCACAGCGTACTTTTTTACACTAGGTGACAATTGTATAACATGGAAGTCACAGCTGCAGCCTTTAGTTACTTTGTCAAGTACTGAGGCAGAATATGTTGCCATAACTGAGGCGGCTAAAGAATGTACTTGGTTAAAAGGAATTTTAAAAGAATTGAACTTCATGCATGATACACCTGTTATGTTTACTGATAGTCAAAGTGCTTTATTGCTTTGTAAAAATCCTGTTTACCATGAAAGAACTAAACATATTGAGGTAAAGTATCATTTTATACGTGAGAAACTGTCTCAAGGTGAAGTTAATTTTGTTAAAATTCACACTGATAGGAATCCCTCTGATATGGGAACAAAAATTCTACCTGCAAGTAAATTTAGATTGTGCTTATCTTTATTACATATTGACACTGGTTAATTTTTCTTGCAGGTGGTGGGCGATGATGATGAACAGTTCTTCCATGTGCAAATTCGCAACCAAGAGAGAGTGTTAGGAGAACCAAGGTG